GGCTCCCCGTTCTGTCTGCTTCGGCTTTGCTCGTCGGCGTGAACACCCGTGCAGTTTCCAGGGCCTGCGGCAGTCAGGGTCTATGTCTCACTTTTAGCTCCACATCAACCAAGCTGCAAGGATGTGGCAATGCTGTGGACTGTCCCAGGGAGGGAAAACAGAGAAGGATGAACCGCACAGTCATTCTTCAATTTGCTGTCCAGAGATGCTGTGTCACTTTGGTGGCAATGCTGTGGACTGTCCCAGGGGAGGGAAAACAGAGAAGGATGAACCGCACAGTCATTCTTCAATTTGCTGTCCAGAGATGCTGTGTCACTTTGGTGGCAATGCTATGGACTGTCCCAGGGAGGGAAAACAGAGAAGGATGAACCGCACAGTCATTCTTCAGATGATGCTGTGTCACTTTGGTGGAAATGCTGTGGACTGTCCCAGGGGAGGGAAAACAGAGAAGGATGAACCGCACAGTCATTCTTCAGATGATGCTGTGTCACTTTGGTGGAAATGCTGTGGACTGTCCCAGGGAGGGAAAACAGAGGATGAACCGCACGGTCATTCTTCAGTTTGCTGTCCAGAGATGCTGTGTCACTTTGGTGGCTAAAAGGGATCACCTGGCCAAGTCAGTGGATTATAGTGGATAGCATCAGTGGATTATAACGAGGAACTATAATTCCCCACCGGGGAGGGGCTGTGCATATGAATGAACAATGAAGGTACCACTGAGGCTGTCTTCAACACCTTTTGCTTTATTACTGTGGCAAGGGCGCGATTCCATGGACCCACAAAGCCCTGGTTCCCATCTCAGGAGAATTCATTTCCCGGCAATGGGAACCTTGCAATGTGGCAAATGGCTACTTAGGTAATCTTTCCCCGAGCAGCTGAGCAGAAAAGCGAGCTCTCTAAGGGATGTGACGAGAAGCCTGGGGTGTGCCAACAACACAGGCCCAGTGCTCCCTCGTAGCATGCGTCCCTCCCTCCGGGACCAGGCATCTGATGAGTGGGGTGCTCCCTCAATGAGTGAGGCTGTGCGTAACGCCTTCTCTGCAGGTCTTCAGTGACCCAAAGCCGCCAGCGACAGCTGCGGCCTCCTCATCTGGTGTCTTCTTGATGCCCTCAACACACAAGAGCCTCCTGCTGTATCCCCTCTTCCCCTGAACACCCTGCTCAATTCCTCTAGGTTCCAGCCGTAAAGGTCAGGTTACCCCGTCACTATTTCTCGCACTGTTTTGCACAGCCGGCGTAAACCAGTTTCTAGCAGATGGAGACTGACCAGATGAGCCGTAGGCACACAAAGGAGGGTCCAGGCTCACAGATGACAGCTGGAACCGAATCTGCGTCCCCCCACTCCTCCTGGAACCAAAAGTAGGAGGACACGCAGGAGCAGAAGAGTTGGATGGCTTTACGCAGCAGGCGGTCTGAGGATGACGGCATCCGGTGACTGAACGTGTCCTCCTTCCAGTCCACAGGGGGTCTTGCTGCAGGCCCCATCCTGTTGATGCATCCACATCTCTACTTCTTTCCCGACCCCCCCCCCCCCGCCCCGGGGAGACAGCTTTGGTCTTTACCCCATCTCCATACGAAGCCTTTCTTTTCCCCCAAAAAGTAGCGGCAGCACCGGGCAGCAAACCTGACTTTTTGGTAACAGAGGTTGCTGTTGTCAGAGCTTCATCTGAGGATTCCAAAATCATTTTCAGAACAGTGTGCACCCAGGGAGTCTGCTGGACGAACAAGGAAAACACAATTTCTGTGCTGCTCCGCGGGGGCAGTTTGCGGCACCCACCCCCACCGCTTCTCTCCTGCATTCCGGCCCTGCTCCGGCGTCGTGGGTGTTCACAGTTACGAGTCCACTGACACCTGACGTTGTCATCTTGCTGTTTGGGCTTCAAAAACAAAATGAACATCAAAGTCACATCCCTATACTCCGCTCCCTGGGAGGTGCGGCGGCCTCAAGGTCTTCGCGACTGTTCTAAGGATGTCCTGCCCTCGTGTTCACCTGCGGCTGCACAGCCTCAAGGGCTCAGCTCGCCCGGGTCTCACGCCCGCCACAAGCTCTGCTCTCATGGATCCAGACGGAAATGTGGGCCTCTGTCCTTACCTTTCTGCTCCCCCGAACCCAACCCAGCCAAACGGCATTCATACGAGACACTGCTCGCAAAAGGCCTGGTGTGGCTCAGCCTCCCTCGCACTCAAAGCCTTTCCCAGTCCCAGGCTTTCCTGACCCCTCCCTGGCTTCTGGCTCCCTCCTTCTCCTAACCCGACCCCCTATTCATTATGCAGGGCAATTTCACTCTCTTTCCTTCTGCTCCGCCCCAGGCTCACCAAGCAGAGCCAAAGACTTATTACCATCTTTGTGAAACAAAGGGCCATTTATGCAAGACAGAATTCCTGGCAGGGGTTCTGCCATTTCTTTCTCTGGAGGTAAAGCAAGATGTATGGAAATGGACTTCCTCATCCAGGAAGGATGATGGAGCCACACTTTGGCTTTCACATAATCTTTTCCTTCTACTTTTCTGGGTAAATAAATATTGCTATAAGCCTCCTTGACACCCACCTCTGAAAAACGTGTTTCTTTAACATAGTGGATTGCAAACTTTCAGTCTGAGAACGACTTTACACTTAAAAGTCATCGAAGGCCCAAAGCAATTTTTCTTTGCTAGATTTTTATGTATTGATATTTACTATATTAGAAATTAAAACCAGGGGCTGGTGCCATGGCTCACTTGGTTAATCCTCCGCCTGCAGCGCCGGCATCCCATATGGGCACCAGGTTCTAGTCCCGGTTGCTCCTCTTCCAGGCCAGCTCTCTGCTGTGGCTGGGAAGGCAGTGGAGGATGGCCCAAGTCCTTGGGCTCCTGCACCCATACGGGAGACCAGGAAGAAGCACCTGGCTCCTGGCTTTGGATCGGTGTAGCTCCAGCCATAGCGGTCATTTGGGAGGTGAACCAATGGAAGGAAGACCTTTCTCTCTGTCTCTCTCTCACTAACTCTGTCAAATAACAATAATAAAAAAAGAGATAGCATTAATGCATTCACGAGGGGGCAATCCCCAGGACCATGTTATTTAAAATAAATAAATAAATATAAGAAATTAAAACCAAAACCCTAAGTATTTATTTATCTAAAATCATAATAAACATATCACATATTACCATAAATGATCTTTTTATGAAAAATACAGTTTCCAAAACAACTAAAAACTTGGTGAGAAGAATGGCATTGCTTTATATTTTTGCAAATCTCTCTGAAGTCTGACTTACTAGAAGACAGGATGTCTGCATTTAGTTGGCTGTACCATCAGTCTCTGGAAAACTCCACCAGTCCAGGGGACTTCAAAATGTTCACGGAAAATGGGATGAAACAGTAATTTCACTTTGGTGCAAAAAAACTTTGAGGGGCCGGCACTGTGTTGTAGAAGGCTACGCCTTTGCCTGCAGTGCTGGCATCCCATATGGGCACCGGTTTGAGTCCCAGCTGCTTCTCTTCTGATCCAGCTCCCTGCTATGGCCTGGGAAAGCAGCGGAAGATGGCCCAAACGCTTGGGCCCCTGCACCCATGTGGGAGACCTGGATGGAGTTCCAGGCTCCTGGCTTCAGCCTGGCCCAGCACCCACCATTACAGTTATTTTAGGATTGAACCAGCGGATGGAAGACCTTTCTTGTCTGTCTCTCCCTCTCACTGTCTGTAACTCTGCCTTGCAAATAAATAAATAAAATCTTTAACAATTTTTGAAATGCACGCACACCTTTTTTCATAATACACATTTCCACGGACTTTCGTCATACCTGCGTATACAACTGATGAGAAAACAAGAGTGAAAACGAAATAACATCTTAGAATTACGAAAATAATTTATCTTGCTGACCATTGAAACTGCAGTTTCAATGCACATTCCATTTGTGCCTCCTATTTGAGGGGGAAAAACAACAACAACGAAAAACCATCTGGGGCTGGCGCTGTGGCGTAGCTGGTAAAGCCGCTGCCTGCAGTGCCAGCATCCCATAAGGGTGCAGGTTCGAGTCACGGCTGCTCCACTTCCAATCCCGCTCTCTGCTATGGCCTGGGAAAGCAGTGGAAGATGGCCCAAGTGCTTGGGCCCCTGCGCCTGCATGGGAGATCGGGAGGAAGCTCCTGGCTTCAGATCGGCTCAGCTCCAGCCACTGCAGCCATTTGGGGAGTGAACCAGTGGATGGAAGACCTCTCTCTCTCTCTTTCTCTCTCTCTCTCTCTCCTCTCTCTCTCTGCCTCTCCTTCTCTCTGTATAACTCTGACTTTCAAATAAATAAATAAACCTTAAAAAAAAAAAAGATCCAACCAGTGAGATCTTGAAACTGAACCATGACCCAATAAAGCCTCATACACTGACTTTCAGGAAAAGCTGACCCGACGCTACGCTGAAAAACTGTACATTAAGGGTGAACGGAACCCCGCGGCAGGAGTCCCTCTTTGAGCTGATAAATTTCAAATCTGCTCGGGGGACACCGCTCCCAGGCTCCTCCCGCCACAGATAGCAAGAGTGATGGGAAAACACCACCAACTGCATGGACGGCCCCTCTCCGGGGGCCAGCAACGTCAAAACACTCTCCACGCGTCGTCTCGGTTAACCCCACACCAGCCCCAGCAGGCGCGGAGGGGCCTCGCAGGGGAGCGGGTGGCCGGGCCCAGGGGCGAGGGGCGAGGGGCGAGGGCTCCCTGCCTGTCCGGCTCAAGACCCGAGGTCAAGGCTGGCGCGTCCCCGCGTCCGGCCACCGAACCGCCCACGCCCCACCAGCGGAGGAGCCGGGACAAGGCGCCGAGCCTTTCGGCTTCCTCATCTCGCTCCCGGGATCCACACCCCGCAGCGTAACTGGAGCTCAGCGGGGTTCCCTGAGCTAAAGGGGCTCCGATGAGCTCGTGGTGGGCACGGGGACGCACACGCCCCCCGGCCCAGGCCGGAACCTTTCTCCTCTCCTCGCGATCGACAGGCGGAGGCCGGAACCTTTCTTCTCGCGTCGTCGTCGCCGGGCGGAGGCGTGCGCCGCCGGAACGGTCCTCCAGCGGCCGCGGTCGCCGGCTGCTGACGTGAGCGGAGCGGGCCGAGTGTAGGGGCCGGTGGCTGTTGCTGGTCGCTATGGCGGTGGACATCACGCTGCTGTTCCGGGCCAGCGTCAAGACCGTGAAGACGCGGAACAAGGCGCTGGGAGTGGCAGTCGGCGGCGGGGTCGAGGGCAGCCGCGACGAGCTCTTCCGCCGGACCCCCCGGCCCAAGGGTGACTTCTCCAACCGGGCCCGCGAAGTGGTGAGCTGGTTGCTATGGAAACGGCGGGGGGCGGACCCGCGATGGGGGACCCCAGACCTCAAGTCGCTGCCAGCGGGAAGGGGTCCCAAGCGGGGAGCAGGGAGGGGTGGCCCCAGGGCGCCGACAGCCGTCTTGGGAAGGGAGCAGCCTTGTTTTGCTGGGGGAGGGGGGTGGCCCTAGAGGCGCCGTCCGCGGGGCTCCAGGGTTGCTTCGGGAGGTGACGAGTTCGCCGTCACTCAGAGCTGGACGCGGGCGAAGCCTCCCACGGGGCCTCGCTGGCGGCCGCAGCGTCCTCGTGGGTGGGTGGCGAGCGTCCCGCGGCGCTCGCTCTCGGTGCTGCCCGTCGCGGGAGGCAGGGCTCGGTGGCTGCGGAGCGCGGTTAGGATCGTCTCTGGCGAGCAGCGTGTGCTCCCACGCGTGGCCGCGACCCTCTGCGTGCTCCGTCGTGCAGCCACGCGTCTCCCTGAGAGCGGGAGCCGTCTGTCGACGGGCTCGGCTCAGTAAAGGTTCGCTGGATGAATGGCTGCCGGCGTAAGCGGCGAGGGTGTGTTGGCCTGGTTCACTCTGTAAGCTTGGCGCCCAAAGCTCATACGGTTCCATGTACCCTCTTGGAGAAATAAAGTTAGAAAACGGAGGGTCAGGAGTTTGGAGGGCGCAAGGGAGGGTCCCTGACGCAGGCTTTCCTTAAGGTCGCGGTGAACCGCCTGTCTTGGCTCACACCCAGCACCTCGCGGTCGAGGTATTTTCAAATGCATGGGTAGCGCATCTGTTAGCGAGGGGCAGCTTGCAGCAGCTTTTCAAACATCGGAAGGGGGATTGGAGCGGATGGACGGACGCACGCGGTCGGCAGACGTCTGTGTTGCGCCTGCCTCCCGACCAGCGCTGTACAGAGCGGTGGGAAGGGAAGGGAGCGGCAGAGGAGCGAGGCGTGCGAGCCTGGCCCAGCGGTAGCCTTGCAGGTGTTCCGCGGAGCACAGAGAGCGCTCACTGCCACCTATGCGCCTGCGGAGGCTTCCGGGGCGGTGACGCGCCTGCAGCAGGTCTCCGGGGAAGAGGGGTTGGCGAGCAGAGAAGGTGGGGAAGGGCGTCTCGGCTGAGAGCGGTTTGCAGAGGTGTGCCCTTGGCTGGTTCAGTGGACACCGGGCTGCAGTGGCGGGCAGGGCTCTTGAAGGGCCTTAGGCGATGGTGACCGCTCTCTGGAGTTTGAACCTGGCCTCTAGGCAGTCAGCCGCCGTGTGACTGAGCAGGCACTCGGGAAGGAGCCGGGGACAGAGCTGCCCTCTGAACCCTGCCGCTGTCAGCCAGCTGAGGTTAGTGAGCAGGGTTTGTTACCTCCCTTTACTTCCTGGGACAATGGTCTCCTCTGCCCCCCCCCCCCCCCAACAAAAGACTTGCACAGAATGACAGTGGTCCCTGATACATAGCTGATTAGGGTGCGGGGAGGTGCGGTCTCAGGTCGAAAGGGAAGAAAGGGAAGTAGGACGTCCTCCCCTCCCAGGGCTCCCAGATTCCTCTCGTGGGGCCCTGGCAGGATAGCAGTTTGGACTTTTGGTGGCTCTAAGTTTGAAATCACTGATTTCTTACTCACACTGAGCTAGTTTGCTTGGGCCCTGCTCAGGCATAGGGGTTTGGGGATGGTAGAGGCAAGAAGTGTGGCTGGGTCGTCGGGCCCTGTGGAGAACCCATTGATCCCAGGGCCTCTCCTTGGGCGGTGAGAATGCCCTCTAGGCTGTGCGTTAATGCCCCTCAGGGGTGGTAGCAGGACCGTGGAGCGCCGAGTTCCCTGTCAGTAGCAGAAAATGGACAGGTGACCGCTTGTCATAGGTGTTTGAGAACTTTGTCCATTTGTCAGACGCTTAGCTTGTGTGTCCCTGAAAGTTTGTTTTTGTTTTAAAGATTTATTCATTCAAAAGGCAGAGAGAGAGAGAGAGCGCGCGCGTGCGAGAGCGAGCTTCCATCTGCTGCTTTGCTCCCCGAATGGCCACTCCCACAATGGCTGGGGCTGGGCCAGGCTGAAGCCAGGAGCCTGGAGCTTCTTTCGGGTCTCCCATTCAGGGCAGGGGCAGGGGCAGGGGCAGGAGTCCAAGCACTCGGGCCACCTTCTGCTGTTTCCCAGTTGTAAGCTGAATTGGAAGTGGAACAGCTGAAGTTCAAACTCGTGCTCACGTGGGATGCAGGTGCTGCAGCAGCAGCTTAACCTGCTGTGCCTCCGTGCTGGCCCCGAGAGTTCCAGCTCCGACAGTTAATGATGTGGGTGCCAAGGCTGGAGACTGTATTAAGTGGCGGCATGGACAGCGTTTATGCCCACTGTCCCACACCGACGATGGGAAAAGTGTTTTCTCTTAGGAATTGATTTGACACTGCATTGCTTTGTAACCCTCTTTCCTTGTAGAATTTCACTGGTACAGAGCTGCTGGTGGGTGTCGTGTGCTTTTGCCACAAACAGACGCGTCAGAAGTCAGGCTTGGGGACGGGCACTGTGGTGCAGTGGGTTAAGCCACTGCTTGTGACACTGACGTCCATGTCGGAGCGCTCGTTTGAGTCTAGGCTCTTCCGCGTCTGCCCCAGCTTCCTGCTCCCGTGCCTGGGAAGGCAGTGGGAGGTGGCCCACACAGCTCGCAGTTTTGTTCTTGGCTTGTAAAGAGGAGCCGAGTGTGCGCATGAAGCATGAATGGAAACCCTGTGCAAGGCAGTGAACCCACAGCAGATGGTGACCGCTCCAGACGCTGTCCGAGCGACAGGGCTCCTCCACACGATGACCAGCACGACTCCCGAGCAGTGAGTGAGGACAAGGAGGGGCCAGGCCCAGCCACTGCAGCCCTGACAGCATGCAGAGACCCTGTGGCCACTGACCACAGATTTCCAGTGCTGAATGTGTGTCGGGATTAGACCACAGTTCTGCAGGGTCCTCCTCGCCAAGACAGCCTAGAGAGGACAGCCACCAAGAGGGTGAGGGAAAGCAAGATGACACCCAGGGTCAGCAGCCCTCAGCGTCGGATGCCGATGCCCAGAAACCCTAAACCGCTATAAGGCGGAGAGCAGGCGTAACATCTCTGCCATCAGCTGTTTGGTCATGCGACAAGAGGAGAGGAGTAGGAATTTCCAGCAAGAAGTGGACGGGAGCTTGGAGCGGAAGACCCTCTGTGCTTGCTCTTCACCCATGACCAGTCACTAGACCTGTCTGCATTGTCCATGCAGCGTGGGGTTTTTAGTGTTTTACCGAAAGGTGGCCTCTTTTCTTGGAAGTGACAAACATTTTTTTAAGCCTGTTTGAATACACATTTCAAGTTTTTAAAATTACTTCATATCTGGTCAACTTGAGGATTTTAAGAACTTTAATTTTTTAATTAGTAAAAGTTTATGATGATTTTTTGAAAAATGTCAAAGCCCCTGTTTATAAGGTCTTAAATAATTAGTTATTTGAGATGGAGAGAGAAGACCAGAGAGAGCGGGAGCGTGCCCATGCTAGCCTCCATCTGCTGGGTCACTCCCCTCATGGCCACAGTGGCTGGAGCTGCATCCAGGTCTCCCACATGGGTGGCAGGAACCCAGCTCCTTGACCATCACAGCTGCTCTGAGAGTCTGCCTTAGCAGGAAGCTGGAACGGGAGCCGGAGGTGCCCTGATGTGGGATGTGGGCGTCTCAGCGAGCGTATGGCACTGTGGGGCCTTTGATGGCTGACTCCATTCCTTTCTCAGGACGTGGCCCTTCAGTGGAGACGCAGCAGCAGACGCTGCAACAGCTCAGGTGTGAGTGATGCCTGCAACTCAGGATTGGCTCCTCAGGTCCCCGTGATTTCTTCTGAGAGCCGGTGTTGGCCCTCACCAACGTGGGGCCCTAGGTTGATTTAGGACCCCCTGGAGTATTACTCAGGGTCGCTGGACACAGTTTATCTGAGGATTGAGCAGGATCAGTTAAGTGGGTCTCCATGTGGGAGACCTGGAAGAAACTCCTGGCTCCTGGCTTTGGATCTGTGTGGCTCTGGCCATTGCAGCCATTTGGGGAGTGAACCAGCGGATGGAAAACCTCTCTCTCTCTCTCTCTCTCTAACTCTGACTTTCAAATAAATAAATAAATAAATCTTTAAAAAAGAATAACCGAGTATAGATCAAAAGGAGCTCAGTGCAGGAGACTTTTCATGACATTAGTAGTGAGCTCTTTGTGTGGATTACATTTCTGAAGTTTGCCCGGGACTTAGGGAGACTACAGCCTTTGAAAATATATTTATTCAGTACTTGGTTTTTCCTTTACCCAGTGAACATTGCGTACTTGTTCTGTGCCACGTGTTGTGAGGATGCAAGCAACTGAGACGTATGTGCAGCTCTTTGAAAATACAGGCAAAGAACAACTTAATCTCTGGAGGGGGACTCAGTGGAAACCTCGGAGAGAAGGCAATGCCCAGACTGGGCCTTGAGTGACGAGGGCCATGCTACCAGGCCTGGGAAGGGGGACCGGTCACATTCCTGCAGAGGGAACTGTGTGAGCCAGGGCGGTGATGTGCACAGCAGGTGGTGGGGAGCAGAGGCAGACTGGCATGAGGAAGGGCCCTTTTCTGGGGGAGACCTGGGTGAGGGCCCGGGTGCTGGGTGGGGGTCGGCCTGGGGCAGACCAAGTCCAGCTGGCCTGTCTGCGTGGCGGCAGTCGTGGTCGTTTGCTTCTGAGCTGGAGCAGCAGACTTGTAGCCCTCCAGGCCTGCGGAGCCTAGCGTGTGTACTATCTGCTCTTTAGAGACCCTTGCCAGCTTTTGGGTTAGAGCATTGTCACCAGTGCTGTGGAGTTGGGGCTTTTATACTCTGGACTATGTACGTGGAGGCACGAGAGGACCACACTTGCATTTTAAATTATTGGTAGCAATGTTGATGACGGGTGTGGAATGTAAAAGGACCTGGCATAGGGCTCCTTAGGAGGCTGCCGTAGTCCAGGTGGAGGCTGAAGAGCTGCTGACAGTCGGATGAGGAGAGGACAGAGCAAATAGGTGTCCCTGGCCTGCAGTGCTTGGG